GGGGGTCCGGTCCGGGCGGGGGGGGGGGGCAGAGCCTCACACCTCTTGAGGTTTCGTTAGACCAGCCCAAGCAATCACTCACAGAGGAGGCTGCCCACTCCATCTCTGCATGATTCCCTGTTCTGGGAACCAGGTTTAGGAGATGTTTAGAGGGTGTTCCAATTCTGGAACGCTCTCTCAGAGGAGGTGAGGTCAACGGCTTCCCTAAAGACCTTCCAGGGGGGTCCGAAGACCTGTCTTTTCTGGGGGGCCTGAAATTAGACTGATAAGGAATGGTGTGACAAGGGGAAGGGCACTACTGAGAAACAGATTTTTTTTAAATTGTATTATATTGATTTCTTATGTTCTTTGAACTCAATTTTTATTGCACTTTTAAAGTTTTTTGGTTTTAATTTTTGTTTTATGTTACAGTGCTAGAAACCACCTTCGGAGAGAGTTTAGGGACAGTTAATTAATAAGCTAAACTGTATAAGCGAAACTCCTTCCCCTCAGCCGCTGCAGGAGGGAATGTTGTATCGCCCCTTCAGGTGCCTGAACCAATCCTGATGCAGAGATGCAAAAGAATTATAAGCTGCAAAGGCTGGGATATGAGTAGGCCTCCCATTTGCCCGCTCAGGGCAGAAATGTGCTCAGTTTCAGTTTCCCGCACCCAAGGAATTGAGGAGTGGGAGAACAAACTGCCTCCACATAGTGACACCCTAGGAATTTTCCTTAGTTTCTATGGTAAAGACCATAGACTGGAATGTCACCCATAGACTAGAATATCACACAGATAGATGTGACATCTTACTGTTCCCAAACTCAAGTCTCCTGAAATTCTAGGTATATCTGTTATGACCGAAAGGATGCTAATGGTTGCCAGAGCTTATATAGGTGTAAGACGAGCTCCAGTAAGTGTCAGTGAACTATAAATCTTCACTTCACCAAGAAAGGGGGGATTTGTTGTACGCACAGCTTATGAAACGTTTTATACTCTGTCACTGACTAACAGGTTTAACTTAGTAGGTACACTTAGCACTTAAGTACTATTTATGATCTAACATCATGAATGTATTCAGGTATTAACTTTGGTTCATTTGTGACTATTGTTTGGGTGCATGCTGGCAAGGTAAAATGCTGAAAGAACAAAATGTTAACTTGCTATTTTTGCTGAATGTCTCTGGACAGCACTGGCTCTTTGGCTTGGAAATGGAGATGAGCACCACATTCCTAGAGTCAGATTCGACTGGCTTTCAAGCAAGGGAAACCTTTACCTTTACTATGGCCTTGGTAGGCCAGCTATAACTGCGGATGTCTCTGGCTAAACGAAGAACAATGGGCACCTTG